ATCTCCATGTGCAGCCTGACCTAGCCCTCATTTGAACTTCCCTGGGCCCAGCACCTGAGCTCCTAAATTTCTCCGCCCCCTCAAGATTTAGGCTCTGGGGCCCAGGTGGTAGACGAGATGCTTTAGCCCTAGTTTTGTATGATAGAAATCCCAGGGGATTATCTAGACAAGATAGATTCTGTAAAGAAAAAGTAGTGATTGAACAAAGTGATGTCAGAGTAAAAAAAATGTCTCTGGTTGTGCAACTGATCTCTCACATGTCTTATAAGCAATTAGAACTAGATAATGTCATTTGTCACCCAATTAAATTAAAAAGGCCAGAAATGCATAGATTAGCACTTTAATTTTTGCTTCAGTCAAAGCAATTATTACTTCGATAAAAAGACATTTAAAATGAAAAGTGAATTTTGATAAAAATGTAGCTGTCTCGATAATACTCACTTCTTTTTAAATGCTTAAAAAAATGCATGTTTCAGATCCATCCATGATGTCACAAATGGTAGGATTTCCTTCTTTTATAAGGCTGAATAACATTCTATTGTATACATCTACCACATTTTTTTTATCTGTCTGTTGATGCTAATTTAGGTTGGTTCCAAATTGTCTAGTGTGAATCATGCTATGTTGCAATAAATACGGCAGTGCAGACCTCATTTTAATATTTTTGGATATATACCTGAGAGTGGAATTAATGGATCATATTAAAATTACTGATAGAATAAATAGAAAATATGAACAGACTAATAAATAAGGACATTGAAACAGTAATGAAAAACCTCTGAATAAAGAAAAGACCAGGGCCCAATGGCTTCACTGGTCAATTCTACCAAACATTTAAAGAATTAACACCAGTCTTTCTAAAACTTTCAAAAAACTGAAGAGAAGGCAACACTTCCAAACTCATTTTAAAGGCCTCTATTACCTTGACACAAAAATCAGAAAAAGATACTCCAAGAAAAGAAAATTACAAGTCCATGTCTCTGATTAACGTAGATGGAAAACACTTAACAATAGTTATAGAAACCATAATTCAATAGCACATTAAAGGAATTATAAACCATAATAAATGGAATTTATCCCTGGGGTACCAGGATGGTTCAATGTACACAAATCAATAAATGTGATACAGCACATTAATAGAATGAAAGATAAAAATTACATCATCATCTCAACAGATGCACAAAAAGCACTTGACAATTTTCAACATTGCTTCATGATAAAAATTCAACAAATTAGGTATAGACAGAATGTACCTCAACATTCTGATGAAGATCATAAATGACAAGCCCACAGCTAACATCATACTCAGTGGTGAAAAGCTTGCAGTTTTTCCTCTAGAGTCAGAAACGAGAAGGGTGCCCACTCTTACTACTTGTAGTTGACATAGTATTGGAAGTCCTAACCAGAGCAATTAAGCAAGAAAAATAAATAAAAGGCATTCAGATTGGAAAGGAAGAAGTAAAAGTGTCTGTTTGCAGATGACATGATCTTATATATAGAAAAACCTGAAAATTACACACACACACACACACACACACATACACACACGTGCATACACACGTATACACCTGTTAGGATGAGTAAACAAAAAAGTTGCAGGATACAAAGTCAACATAAAAAAAATCAGTTGCATTTCTATATACTAACAATCAGCTACCCCAAAATGAAATTAGGAAAACAGTCTAATTTACAATAGCACCAAAAACAATGAAATATTTAGGAATAAACTTAACTAAGGAGGTGAAAGATTTATACACTGAAAACTACATTATAGTGTGTTGTGGCGCGAATGATTCTGAGACCCACGGAGCCAATTGAGATTAATTATGAGCCTTTATTAGCTGGCCGGCGACTGACTCTTTACCACGCAGGGTTAGAGGAATTCAGCCCCGAGATTACAGAGGAGGCAGCTTATAAAGCCTCCTACTACATCCTTGAATAAGCAGATTACAAGAAGCAGAAGTTAGTCGTTAACGTTTTGTACAAAGATAAATGTATCCGGGGAACTCTCAGATCAAACAGGGCCTAGTAGACAGTTTTATTATTTTCACCTTGGAATGTTGCACTTCTCCTGGGGCTGGCGCCTGGAGATATCACCTCCCTGTGACTGAGTTACTGCTTGCACCTGGAGATACTGCCTCCCTGAAACTGGAGAATTTCCACTTTTACACAAGCAAGTGACATCTGTTGTCTATGAATAAAAGTAGAAGTCTGAACACTTTTTTTTTTGATTTGTAATTTTAAAAAAATTTT